ACGTCACCTGACCTTTGGTGCGGGCGCTGCCACCGTCCGCAGGCCATCTCAGGCAAGAGCCGATAGCGGCCTGAAAGCGACACGAATCGATTCCTCCATGCGTGGGCGAATGGGAAGGTAAAGCTCTGACCGACCGTGCCATCGGGACGGGCAACGAGCGACATTGTGATGGGCAAAGCACGAATCACAATATTTCGATGCAATGATGACTTTGTGTGGTTTGAGACATGCCGGAAACCTTGAATGATTCGATTCGCTTCATGTGCGATGCTTCTAAGCTGTTCTAGATATGCAAGCCAAGTCGTGTTCTGCCGTGGCTTGGTTGCTACACATGACGACAAGAATGCTTTTGTTAAGAAAGCGGAAGATGATACGAAAACCTCATTGCGAGCGACGAAAGCCAATGCGCGAAAAACAAGACAAATTGATTGTTGGCTCGTCTTTGTGCAGAGGAGAGAAAAACAAAATTTTAGCAACGGTGTCCTTGCTGGCCTAAAGGCCAGTCTTTCTATGCAGGTCGCGGCCGTCTTTGCAGGTCGCGGCCGCGATCAAATCCGCGACCGATATTGCAGTCATGATCTGCTGCGGATTAGAGATGCCAAGTTTAAAATATACAGGCCCGCAAAGCACGTGTAAGGAAGATCGATTGTGGTGCCGCTAATCCGCAACAGCTGACATATGCCGACCAAACAGGAGAGGGTTTGGCCGTCAAGTGTTGCGGACTTGAGAGGAGACACCAATTTTTAGCTATTTTATCCACCCTGCGCGGGCCTGAGGGCTTTAAAGTGGCGCCTATATTTTACGACAGCCGGCTGTCTGCAATATCTGCAGCGAATTCTGCAACTAATTAACATCTGATCTGTCAACAGTAATCAACGCCAATCAACATCAACCAACAGTCAACATCTGATGTCAGCGGCTTTAGCTTGATCGCACGATGCATGCGGGATAATAACTGCCATTCAATACTTCATACCGACCCAATCTTTGCACAAAGCTAACACAAGCCCACCAGCCCCCCCCCCCCCCACCCTTCCTCCCATTTCGAAAAAATATCATTCCAACAAATGCTGGCACAGAAACCGCCCAAACAGCACGATACACATCACCACAGAGGGTAATTGTAGAAGGCGGAAAGTGACCACTGGCTGTCTGGGACGTTACACGTGCCCCATTGGTTCCTGATCACATTGAGACCTGCGAGACGTGACGAGGTAGACCAAATGGCGCTGCTTTCGGGCAAGACTGTCATGCAAAGTGATGAGAATGGAACTGAGTACCTCGAGTTTTCTGAGAGGGGAACGAGCGCTGTGGACGGAGATGTGTCTGACAGCGTAAGAGAGTATATGCCAGAGGCCAACAACGCCAACAATCAGCGTCAGGAAAAGTGGCCAGTAAACCTCTGTTGTGAACTTGGGGCCCACCGCAGGGTTCATTAAAATATAATAATCACTTTCACTCAAGGCGAACTCTTTCACTTTCACTCAAGCTCACGGACACCCGGGACAGAGATTTGGTTTAGGAATACCCCACTCGGTGTGAACACGAAATGAAAGCATCGCTACATTCGCAAGACAGCGGATCACGGCTGCTCGATGCTGGACGTCTACGGGAACACAGTGGGCACAAGTCCGTAGATTTTCTCATGTAGTTCAAAGCTGGCCACAGGCTCAGCAGACCGTATCCACAGCGGAGATGACGGGTGCACTTCTCAACGTTGGAGTGCGTCAACCCGCCTTCACACCCGCCAAATGCGCATGCAAGGCTGGCCAAGGCACTTTCACATTCAATGGCTGCATTAACATCATCGTCACTATGACTTAATAATGAAACTTTATGGATGGATTTCGGAGGCGTACGCACGAGTGATTTTCAGCGACAGGTTCCCCTATCAAGTTGTTGCATGCATTTTAAGATGTGTGGGAACACGTAGACAGTTCAGTCAAAATTTCAGGTACACAAGTAAGACAAAATTATTTTACATTTCGCGCGACTGCGGGGTGCTGACTTGGGCTTTTGCAGAAGCTTTTTGAGCTACTCCAGCCCACAGCAAATTTATCCATGCGGCCCTTAGAACTGTTATGCCTTGGCTAACACTGTATTCACGTGAGAAGAAATTATGTGAGTTTGTATTTCGTAAGTTAGTAGGTGCATTTACGAGGAATATGATTCACGTAGACAAAACAGTATTAGTAGCCTTATTCCTCGTAGTAAAACCAGGAAAATGCAGATATACATGCTTTGGTGTTTCGGCCACATGCTGTTATCGAAACGAGTATCAGAAAAAATATCTGTATTATTTTCTGCTAGGATTTCAGGCAAATTTGTCATTATTTTATTCTCTTTTTATTCTATCACTATTTAGTATGTTATTTATATGGCTATCAGTGAATATTTATGTTCACTTCTGCTATCGTTTCGATAAAGCCACCCTGCCGGAATATCAGCGCATCTATATCTCCATTCTCCTGGTGTTTATCCGAAGAATAATGCTATTACTATTGTCTTATCTATTAGTTTGCATTTCAATGAACCAAGTTGGATGAACCATTTTTATTTACGCTTCCTTATAATTGGGGAATCAAAAAACTTGATGGACATAAAGACTCTTATTGTCGTTGTATGTCCAGTGAAATTCATTTGAGGAAAATTTATATCTGCTTAATAGAAACACTTATCTCTGTACCATTCTTCCCTAGACAACTGCAAGTCGCGATCTGGAATGGTCTCCGAGTCCCCCTTTTTTTCGCAAATGTGATCCAAAAAATTGTTCTTCCACTGTCCCGAAGGTATGAAACTGTGGCGATGTTAGAACCTTACAGATAATGAAACAGGGTGCGTTTCGGCGCCTTCCACATACCACCCCATTGCGCTCCTCGTTGCTTACAACTTTATAGCGCACTGCCATGGTGCAGAGTGGAAAGAACTGGCTTCAGAATCCCTACGCTCTGGCACCCTACCCTGGGAAGATCCACGCCCAGAAGGCCTTCGCTCAGAAGACCTTTGCTCAGCAGAAGTCAAGCTTAGCGGTCTGCTACTTGAGTACCCACTCCGTTAACACTTACGGGTGGTATCCGTTGATCGAGTCAGAACATTCAGGCCGCCAGGGGCGGCAGCACACGCATTAGATGGCCAAGATAGGGCTGGCAAGAAGTGCTGAAGACTGGCCAGACAACCTGGTGAGTTGAAGGACTGATGCGGTGCATCATGACTGTATGGAATCACGTCAGCCAAACACGCTCAGATCCTGCCCAGCTCCTACGCCCGTTTTCAGCCACAACCGGACGGCGGCAGGTGGTCCCTGGCCGAGGACCGTCGAACAGGAGAGAGGGAAGTGGCGAGCATTGGTGGTGCGAGTGGCGCTTTTTCATGAGAGTCATTAATAGCTAGTGGTCAGGGATGAGCTTTGATAAGAGGCCGGGCGGAACTGGCAGCAACTCCCTGTCATTTGCCAAGAGATCAGCCAGATTTGCCTCATCAGATACATGGGAGGGCCACGTGAAAACTCAGCAAACACGGCCAATCCAGCCCCACTGGTCGAAAGAAGGAGGCCGATGATCGAAAGGAGGTCTCATCAGATACATGGGAGCCCACGCGAAAAACACAGCAAACATGGCCAGCCCACGAGAGGCTACCATAAGAAAGACCGAATGTTTCGCCAAACCTATAGGGCGCTTCATTAGGTAATGCGTACAAGATTGGCTCGTTTCGAAGAAAATAGTCACGAAGCGAATGGAAATTTAAATGAGGGCTGGGATAGGAGGGCCCGTTATCTGCTAAGGAGGCCACTAGAGGCGCTGTCGCTGTTCACACCGCGAGTGTCGAACACTCGTTTGTTAACAAAACGGCTCCATAACACTTTTGACGATATTGAAACCCTGCGACACGGGCCGAGTGATCTTCTCTGCTCACGGCGCTCCACCGCAATCTCCCAGCACCTTTAGCAGCGCCCGGTCGGCCAAGACCAACACCTGGCGGCCCGCTTGCACCTGCCGGATCCTCCTCACTGTGCCCGAGCTATATCGGGTTTTGACGGCACCTCAGTCTCCCCCTCCTTCTGACGCCGACGACCATCGCTGTCACGGGTCACACGCCGGCCGGCCGTCGCCCGTCCCGTGCTCTGATTGCACGAGGTCGCGGTCACTGCGGCTCCGTGACGGCGCATGCCCCGACCGGCCGCGTCATGGGTGGCGCCCTCTCTCCGGCCGCCGAGTATATAGCCACCGGTCGGCTCGGCAGCGGCACACAGCGCCGTCAGCGGCCCGGTTCGCCAGCATCGGCTCTCACCAGGTTAAGGCGCAGCCGGCGAGGCAGATCAGTCGAGCCCGCACCTGGTCAGCTCAACTGGAGGCGGTGCCAGCCGGGTCACTTCCCATTGTAATGGAGCTTTCTGTGCACCGTCATGCGTCATGTGTAATGTCATGAATGTGGTACAACTTGTTCCACAGGATAATAAACTAGGTGATGTTTGGCTTACAAGCTGCATTATGTTTCGTAGGAGCTGGAGAATATACGTTCCCTACTTGATATCGGTTTATCTTTTAAACTCCATTCATCTTGCCTAGTTACCGGTTGCATGTATTTATCCTGTTGATTGGCCTCTGTTTGGCCGACGGAGGCAGCGGCAAAGGCGGCTTCTCAGGAGGACGACGAGGAGGCTACAGTGGTGGCAATGTGCAAGGCGGTGGCTACAATAACGGTGGAACCGCAGGCAGTGATTACAGCAGCAGAGGAGGTGGTGGTCATGGCGGCGGTGGAGGCGGAGGCGGTGGCTACAGGAGCAGAGGAGGTGAATGAGAGGTGGCCTGTGAACTACAAGCCATCCCAGCCACAGTTTGTGTGACAGCTTGTCACAGTTTGTATCCTTTGGATGACAAGTGGTTTCCCAGTTACATAATGTTTGATATTGCGAGAACCGATTCACAGGTATCCGGCTGACGTGTGAAAGTCATCCTTCCTTGAACAGGATAGACCCCCGATCACATTTAACACACAAGATCTTCCTTTACCACATTTCGAATTTCGAGGCACAAATTATCTGACATTTTAAAACACAACGGCACAAACGTATCAAAAACGTTTCTCAGCATTTCTCCACCCTGACTCTATGAGCTGCATCGCAGCACCTTGCACCTGCGCGTCACCTGCCGGAGCTGCGGTCGCTCACCGCCGGTTCACGCCGCATCGCGTTCGTCGTCGCGAAGCAAATCAGGACAGCCGCCTTTGCCTCTCGGCAAAGCTCGCCCGGGCTCAGACGATCTTGACGAAGCAGACCTTGATGCCCAGCATGTAGAGTACGCCGCGCAACGCGGCCAACGCCAGCAGGGCTCGCGCGATGGGCGAGCACATGAGCTTTCGCTGCAGCGCCGTCGCCTTGGCCAGCAGCGAGCCCGTGCTGCAGCTACAGTCGATGTCGTCCGGCTCCTCGACGATGGGCGCCGGTGGCGCTGCACCACTGCCGTACTGCGGGGGTGACGGTCAAGTCATGGTATACCGTGTCATGTCAGGTCAGCTGGCAGGGGGCGGTTGACACGGCTCTCGCTGACGGGTATGAACACTTCAGAGCAGGCTTTCATCAGAAATCGTGAAAAAGTCGTCATGAAAAACGGCAAATCGAGGTGAGGAGTAACGTATTTCAGGAGTCATATCCCTGAGCAGTCATAGCAGCTATAAGAGCTGGCTGAAGATCTTTCCCGATCATTTGAAGGCCCACAGGTACTTCTAGAAATGACCATTTATGACCAGATAAAAAAACACAAGACCATTTTGCATGCACCGTTGTCCACACCGTTAATTATCGCACTTTAGAGATCAGTTTTTGTCAGCTGCACAACTGAATTAATGTCTTACTGTTTGCGATGCATTCAAAGCTAGCCGCATGGACATTTCAGGAGCAAAATAATTTCTGCACCACTGATTCATATGTTTTATTAATTATTGTCTTAGGGTTTTACAACCTCTTCAATTTGTGTGTGAATATCAGTCTAGTTAGAGCGAGTGAAATAAAGTTTGTGACACCTTCATGTTATGGATGGCTTTTGATAAATCTATGCTGCTAGAACCTTGCTCAACATATGGACGCTCGCCTTATGCCCTAAGCCGTCACGCAATCAGTAGCAAATACGTCAAACAAGAACCAGTAGGAGCATGGCAGAAAATCACTAATAGCTCGCGCTGTTCACATACATTTCAAGGTGAGTGCTTAGCTTACCCAGTTTTTGAATGTCTGCACGATTCCAGGAGAACAGAACGCCCCGTCAGACGGACTGACTGCGTTGAAGAAGGGCGTATATCCCTGTGCGTACTCCTTCTTACGACAGTCCTGCGCTAGGCGTCGGTACGGCATCCCCAAGCCGTTTGGGTAGAATCCGGTAGAAAATGTATCACTGACGCACGACGTCGGTATAAAACTGGTCTCAAAGAGGCCGCTTGCTGGGGTCGCTTCGGACTTCGGATCTGGGGCAGTAAATCTCGTTCGGAAAATATCGGCACTTTTGAGGTAACGCACAGGCGGAGGAGTAAACCTAGTTTTGTAAATGCTCTTCAAGCTGTCGTCTGTCAGGGGACAAGCATCCCTGGGGAAAAGGATTGCAAAGATGCAGTCAATGACTGATGAGAAGAAGCCTCTTTTTCGGAAGTGAAAGAGCACCATTATACTTTGGGATCACATTTGCAAACTTGCGATCATTAACGACCCGGACTGGCTCTTTATGAGATCCTCTAGCTTTTCCTAGCAATTGGGAGTGGTGCAAGCTACATTCGTGCTTCTTTAGTCAGTTTTCCACACGGCAAGACGTGGCTTTCTAAGCAACAGAGGGTAAAACACAAAGAAAGTATTAAATAGTACAAGGAATTTGCTACACGTACTTTTTGATTTATAACGAACGGTCGCAAAGACGCTATAAAAATTGCGGTATTTGCTCGTTTCGCACGTTCTTCACCGGCTCTAACGCTCCGCCTTGGCAAATGTTTCCTTTGATTTTGGTTTATTTTGTTCTGCTTGTTCCTGGTCTTCCTTGCATTAATGCTGAATAAGCTGATATGGCAGTGCACTCAACCTCCAATAAACCTGTTCTGTTTGAGGTGTAGCATTTTGTTCGGCTGAATTAAAGACCCATTTTGATAAAGTCAGGGATAGCATTGTCGCCAGAATGTCAAAGCTGGGTGTCGTTATGATTCCAACCGATACAAAATAGCAAAACTTCTCGCATATGTCACCATTGCTAGATGGTTTGAGAGGACCTGCTAACGGTGCATGGTCGAAAAATGACATGATTTTGATTTGCTTAAATTGCGAAAGATAGGCGCATGCATAATCCACGGCAATAAGGCCAACATTTGATAAGTATGCTCATGTTCGATAAGGCTACCATATACTGACCAATTGCAAACCCAGTACTTGATAAATCGATAAATGATAGTGTGCTGCCCAAGTAAGGCTGTTGTCAACCTGTCATATAAATATATCAACGAATATCAAAAAAGTCGGCTTAAGTTATAACAAGCGATCAGTTTGCTGAAATCATGCAAGCATATGTTGTGATGTATAGATAAGCTTTATTTTGATCTCCATCACGCATGCTTATACCTTAACTATTCAAGCTATCCCAAGAAGGTGCTTCGTCCCAAGGACGGATGTTATAACAAATCTAGAAGATCAAGCCCGCTATACTGATGCCAGAGCCATATGGTAGGCAGTTATTCGCAAACTACGCACTAAGGGGACAGTTGTGCCTTTTGCCTTTCTAGTGGCTGGGTCGCGAGCCCGTTAGCCCCCCTTAGATGTTCTGTTGCGCGAGCGTGGGGTAGATTAAAGGTCGCTGGGGACGGAAACCAATGGCGTGCACTGCTGTCGGATCTCCCCTGACACCATTTTTACGGGGCTATCCGAAATTGTATGTCTTGTGCAAGGTTTTCACAGACTCTGGACACACCAACGCCATTGGTGATTTCGCCCAAATGCCAGCTTAATCTCAGCGTCAATTCGCAAGAGCCCCAATCTTATATATGACGGCATCGTCATATCATGGCAGCATGATGCCGGAGTTAGCAGACCTGAGCTTTGCTTGGAGCGACAGGCCAGTCTGGGGTATATTCCATGCAAAACAGTCGTCATTCAGACTTGTTATTACTACACTACAGCTTGCTTTTATTTTCGCCTCAGAAAGATGTCACTATTCTCTGGCGTGTTGTTAGAATCCGAAAAGTCCAGTGGGCTGAAAACTTCCATTTTGGCTACGAGACAGCTAAAACAAACGGCGAAATGCACATTTTGCTCTGGACTGTGAGAGGTCTGTCGCGCACAGACACGGACACTTGTGCCTATACGATGAGTAGCGTGCCCCCAGTGAATTCTATCGCTCCCACGTTAGTGCCGTATTTACGTCATGCGTGGCCGTAACTCAAACACACTGGACCCAAGGCAAATGTTCCATGTAAGCCGCTGCTCTCAATGACGTTCAGCTTGGCAGCCAGCTCGCTGTATCCGTGGCAATCCCTCCTTTCTCTCTCTTCCTTTTTCTCTCCCTCCATCTCCCTCTCTCTCTCTCTCTCTCTCTCTCTCTCTCTCTCTCTCTCTCTCTCTCTCTCTCTCTCTCTCTCTCTCTCTCTCTATCCCTCTCTCGCTCTTTCGCCCTTCTAAGCGAATGCTTATTTCAGCAATCCCTTCAAGTAGTCAAACATAGTTGTGCAGCGTCCGATTGACCAACCTCGATTGATTTAGTTATCGGAAAAATAAAAAAAACTGTCGTGAAAGGCGCCATGTGCGATGCATGTGCTTAAAACTTGAGCAAATCCATGTACACACTGGTATTAAACAAACAGCCCGGTGGATTTAACAGTGTATCAATGATGAGATACGATGAAGCTAAACAACAGAAAATGATTTGAACTTCACATCTCAGTTTCACTACAGCCGCAGTCTGGTCCTTCACGAGTTCCTCTTTGAGGCGGGGAGAGATTTTTAGATGGTGCATCCGCCTGCGGTGCGTTGTTTGGTTTCTAATTAGACCTCGTCTGGGTGTCGAGGTCTGATGTTCGTCCTGGAAACAGCGCACCGCCCTCCCTCAAACGTGGTGAGTTTATGGTTTGCACTCGAGCACACGTGACCCGCTGCAGGCAGCGATGCACATTCGTGAAAAACGCGAGTGCCAACGCTTCTCTCGGTCTAGCTGTGGATATTTCGCCTTGCTGTGATTACAGGTGGTCGAAAACGGAGTCAGATTTACGTTTCCTAGCACACGCGAGATGCAAATAAACATTCCACGGAAGGTAGGTTTCATTTTAACAGCTTGCATGCCCGCGCTTTGAAAAAGCACAGATGCATTTTAAGGGAATCAAGCTGCTTTTACCGAAGACTGCCTCAATCTTGATAAGTATTGCCAAAAATGTAATTCCGCTAAAGGCGTAAAAAGCGGCATGACGGGCCTGGCCTGGCCGGGTTATTCAAGCTGAAATGTGATCACATTCCAATTCAGGACTCGCTCGACCCATGACCTCACTTTTGAACATCAACTTCCGGGGCTGCCGTGGTCAACAACGAACATCCATAGTCTGTCCTGGTCGCTTACCGCCCTCGGACCTCACAAGCTGCCATTGACATTGTTTTATTTAAGATGTAATTGAAGTCGATCATTCTTCGGAGTATAGCTTGACAGAACGACGATGCTCAGTCCGACATAAGCCATTCAGTGGAAGCGTGCTTTCATCAAACAGTCGCTTCCTTCTCGGGCTTGCGAAAGTGGGCGTATTACAGCTACCAGAGCGTGGATGTGCCTCGTTAGGCACATGGCTACATTCGTTAGCCCGTAAGTGTGCAGATGGCGTGTACCCTCGTCGGCGGATGTTCCTCGGTACGACAGCTGAAGGACCCAGGAGCCTTTTCCGTTCCAAGTGGCTAGGGCACGTCATAGCCTAACATCATATTTGGTCAGACTTGGGGTTCTGGCGATCACAGACCCCGGCAGCATCACAAGCCGTGAGTGGTTTGGTTGGAGGATGAGGCCGACAGTCAAAATTCGGCGATTGAGGGCGCTACGGCACGTGACGGTGCTCCAGCTCCGGCATCCGCGCCCTTTGGCAGCAGCAGTTGCGCCAGTCCGTCTGCGTGTAGTTGTTAACTCTTACGATCGGTGGAAAAGTGCTGTTGGAATCGGTAATAATGTGCTAGTGGTAGGTAGAGAGGGTCGGCTTAAGGGTTAATCCACGTTATAAAGTTTTATTTGGGAAACTTTGTGCGCTATGCATGAATGCACAGAGCAATTAGTGCTCTAAATCCCAAATCATCACATGGTGTGGTGGCGGCCGCGCCGCAAGGCACTGCTACATTGCGGTACAGCCTATCCGTAATAGTGATGGCGCGTTTTGAGGAATGCTCGCCGCACTCCTGTGGGAGAGAATGCACCAGTGCACTGTGGTACAGTCTATCGGTACCAGGCCCGGTGCGCTTTGAAGAATGGAAACTGAATGAAGTGGTGTGATAACATTCTAAAAACGGGTGATTGTATCCTAGTCCGGAACCGAGTAAGATCGGAGAATCGCCCGCTCCAAAAAATCACCACATCACTCATGAGCAACCTAGGGTCACCAAACTTACATATCTTTGCCAAACAAGATGCACAGTCCAAATAGCGTTGTCTGTTTGGTGATTTTTTTAGTTTGGGTGTTACAGGGTGTTGAATATGGTAAATTTTGCGAACAAAGACAAAGTGAAATTGAAATTATGTATCCTACAGATCGAGCTGTGAGTTCTTGCACAGCTTGTTTTCTCTCTGGGGTACATGGGGCACGTCCTTTTATTCTATGATACACTTACTATTTTGGGTACTTTTAAGGCGATTTTGTGAGGCCTTTGGAATTCTTATTTTGCACCAAGTACAATTTGGAATATTGATTACAGCCCGATTTGCTTCGGCGAAAAAAGAGATCTCGAACAGAGAAGTCGATTGATGAAAAGGAACTCAAAATGTGACAAAAGAAACGCCTAAATTTGGAAAAAATAATATTCAATTGCAAATTTTGCCTTTTCTAATTTTTCGGTGAAAAGTGTCTTGTCGCAACCAAAAACGACGCGTTAGAGATGCGTTTGATCCCGGAGTATCGTTTGGTGTTTGAATTTTGAAAACGTTTGAAGGACGGCTGAGATATAAGCAAAAAAGCTCGATTTTTGAATTGTCACTTGTGCCCAAGTGCAAATTAATGCATCTTCTCCACCGACCTTTGCGTTTTAACGGTCCTTTGATGTGCAATTGAACAGGTTACAACGCTTTTATTTTCTTAAGTGACAAACTCATACGATGAGTTCACAGGCAAAACACTTTTAATTTTTTAGTTAACAGAAAACTTTGCAACAAGAAAAGCTCTTGACCAATCTCGTTGAAATTGCGGCATGTTATGAATGTTTCTATTGTGCAGATTGTGGGGCTCAAATCAAGCCGATCTATCAACTAGAAATCGAGAAACAAGCTGAAAGCTGATATTGGTCATTTTACCCGTTCTAAGAATTAGGTCGAGTGATTTTATCCTACTTGGTAACTTGCCGGAAAAAGTTGTGGCGTTCATCTACTTCATAAGCTGTAAAACGAAAACTTGGAGTCCGATTACACTTTCGTAATGAAGCATGACGTAGAGAATTGTTTGGACCACCTTTTATCAAAACCACGTAGGCATCACTTCCACCTCACTCATGCAGCACTTCACTACATGAACTTTTTAGTGTACGCATCGCCTAAACGCCCAAATCTTGGACGCAAAGATACATGCTATCAAAAAGGGACCCACTATAGCACTGCTAACGTGGAATTCTCGAAGCGCCACGCACAGCGCTATACCTCTCCAGCCTATGGGCGTTGATGTCGGCGACCATTCCGGCCTTGCGGATAT